CAGGGGTAGGCAAGGTTTTTTGGCCGGAGTGCTGAAAAACACCACAATGCCTACCTTGGAAGGTGCTGGAGTGCTGGCATGCCAGAAAAACAAAATGAGGCAAAAGGGGTATATGGCAGGATGCCCTGCTTGTTCCCCATGTCCCCCACCCAAAGCCCCTGCCCCCTAGCCCTGCTGCCCCGTGCCCCCCACCCCAGGCTCCGTGGCTCCCAGCAGCTACCCTGGCTCTGGGGAGCTGCGTGGGCCCAGGCTGCGCCCCACCAGCTGCCTTCTGGGAGCAGCCCAGGCTCTTAGCTGGCAGCAGCTACCCAGAGCCAGGGCTGGCTGCACCTGGGAGGCTCCAAACAGCTGTGCTGGGCTCCAGCATCAGCTTCCTACCAGTGCATGCACCCATGCGTTGGAGCAGGCAGTGGGGAGGGGCCTGAGGCAGTGCAGCCCCAGTCTCTCCCCCGCTCCTGGCGAGATGACAGGGTTCTGGAGCTTGGCGCAGCTGTTTGCAGCCAGCCTGGGCTCTGGGCAGCTGCAGCAAGCAGTGGACAGACTGCAAACAGCTGCACCGGGCTCCACAGCTCCATCATCAGCTCTGTGCTGGCAGCAACTGCATGGGCACCTCAGGGCAGACAGCAGGGCAGCACTGGCTGCAAACAGCTGAGCCGGGCTCCAGAACCCAGTCACCAGCTCCGTGCCGGGAGCCGGGGAGAGACCGGGGCTGCGTTGCCTCAGGCCCCTGCCCCACCACCCGCTCTGACGCATGGTTGCATGTGCCAGTAGGGACCTAATGCCGGAGCCTGGAGCCTGGCACAGTCATTTGGAGCCTCTTGGCTACAGCCGGCCCCCGATCTGGGTAGCTCCTGCCAGTCAGGAGGCCCAGGCTGCTGCCAGCAGGCAGCTGGGATGCTGCCAGCAGGCAGCTGGGATTCTGCCAGCAGGCAGCTGGGATTCTGCAAGCCCTGCTGAGAGCAGCCCGGGCTCTGTCGCTGGCAGCAGCTACCCAGAGCCAGGGCTGGCTGTGGTGTGCCGAGCAAAATGGCCTCGCGTACCATGCTCGGAACACGTGCCAGGGGTTGCCAACCCCTGCCCTACAGGAACCATCTGCAATACTGAGAAGATACTTTATTTTGTTGTCTTTTTCTCTGCTGAGAACAGGGTTTAAAGATTACGACTAACTTTGGCAATGATTATAAATGTGTGACTCCTTGTTTTTGAACTACTGACCTAAAAGGTAGGCAATTAAAATACTAACCTTACTTTAAAAAACAAACAAACAAACAAAGTGTGAGAAAAAATAATCCAGAAAACTCAAGAGAATGAAACAGACTATTTGTTAAAGCAGAAGCAAATTTATCCTTTAAAATGCAGCACTAGCCTAAAACTAAAGCCCTTTCCAATGTGAAGGCATGGAGGTCACTAATAAGATATAAATGCAACTTACAATAAACAGATTTTTGGTTGGCCCATCATGTTGTGAAATGTTCCTGATCATTTTCATCAGCAGCGGATCCTTGAACTTCAGAGCCCTCTTCATTAACATCTTCAATCCATTTCCTGAAATGGAACAGAGCATGTCAAATCTCCCAGATCAAATTAAAACTAGAATTGGGGATTTTAATGGGACAAGAAACAATTAATAATGATTAAACAGCAAAGATAAATAAAAAGCAGAAAATATTGTTTTGGTCCAGGTCTTAATTAAATGGGACAAGTTTCACCTGCATAAGCTCCAAGAGAATATAAGACAGATGCATAATAGCCAATTTTAAGAGATATTTGGACCTATCAACACAGAAAGCTAGATAAACGGCCGAATCCTTCAGTTATCAACCCTAAGGCTGAAAGAAGAATTCAATAACCGTAGACTCTATTCTTGCCTAATTACCACTATTTCATGTACATTTCCCAAACCTTACCTATCTCTCCTCATCCTCATATTGGGGAAGAAGAAACATATATGTTAATACATTTCTTGCAGTGGTATTTATAAACATCAAACACTTGTAACCATGCTGCTCAAGAGAACCTAATAGGCACAATGTACTCTTAGGCTCCCAGCAGGCGTTACAATTAAGACGCTATTAACCTGTTAATTGCACCATAAATAATAACCCTGCTACATGTTCAAGGAATGAATGGTGCAACAAAATGGGAAGTCCACCACAAAAAAAGCGTGCCACAAAAGATACTGCAATTACCTCAATATAAGACAACCCTTCAATTATTAGATTCTAGATATGGAAAATACGTAAACTTCCAGGTATAGAATCCAAGTACTAGAGGGTTGTTTTGACCCCCACCCCCCCGTCCCCAACTGCTACAGCAAGGAAAGTAGTGGTGGGGGGAGGGGGCTTCAGATAGTCCTCTTGCCCTGTGCCCTGCCTACTTCTTCCCTCTGCAACCTTCCTGCCCCCGCCTGCACCCCGCCCCGTCCCCAGCTCCCAACAGCCTCTGCCCCCCCAACGTGCCCTAGTCTCTGCCTCTTCCCTCCCCCCTCCCTGTCAGATGCTGCTCAGGCTGCTGTCACAGAGCACAGCACATGGAAACTCAGCCCTTGCCTGACCACGCAGCACTGTCAGTGCTACTGATTGGCCGGGCAGACAATACAGCAGTGTCAACACTTCTAATTGCCTCGGCAGGAGAAAGAGTTTCCATGTTCTCTGTGCCTGGGAGAAACTCCAGTTTTACCTGGAGCCAAGTTGTTCCTGATATTAAGGGGGAGGGGAGGGCAGGCAGTGGGCAGAAGCTGCAGAGGGGAAGGGGAAGGTGGGGGAGGGGCAGGAGACTGCAATGGGTCTGACTCTCGCCCCAACCTTGGCTGAGGGAGTGTCAGAGATGCAGCAGCCACCTGCTCCCCACTCCGCTTCGTATGCAAATATAAGATATGAGCTTCCCCCTCCCCCCAATGCTGATTGGGGGGGAAAAAACCTTGTTTTATATTTGGGTAAATACAGTATGTAACATTTTTTGTGGCTGGTTTCCACTGCAGTTTAAATTTAGTGCAACTGTTGGTTCTAGCTGCAGGAATATACAGGAATTTGAAACCCAAACCAGTGGCATCCTGGGGCTGGGACCAACAACCAGCTGACTGTCAGCCCCAGCCTTGAGACTACATGGGAGTCTGGAACTGGCTCTGGTGCAGTCCCAGGACTGGGAACAACAATCAAATGATTGCCCGTCATGGCCTTGGGATCGCTCAGGTTCACTACAAGCACACGGCTTTCAACTTGCCAGTGGAGGGGAAGCACAGGATCTCAGACTCACCCCTGCACTGGCAAGTAGTAATGGTACCAGTTGGATACGACTCCTGGATCCCCCCCTCACCCCCCCCCAAAAATCACACATTCTATCATGCACATGGCATGGCAGAATGTGCAGTTTTTGAGATCAGGGAGCAGATCCTATCCTGCCATTAAAATGAATGCATGCCAGGGGCTACCATGTGCCTAACAAGCTTTGGACACTAAAGAAATAATGTTCTTGCCACTAGACTCAAACATCTGAGAGCAAAGGCCAAATCCTGCAGACTGCCTGGGCTCTCTAATAATGTTAACAGTTTTATTCTTATAGTACATGTGTGTGTGTGTATACACATACATATATACACACACATACACATATATACATACATATATACACATACACATATATATACACATATATATACACATACACACACACACATATATATATACACACACACATATACATATACACACACACATATACACACATACACACATACATATATATATATACACATACACACACATACACACATACATACACATACACACACATACATATACACACACATACACATACATATACATATACACATACACATACATACACATATACACATACACATACATACACA